TAAGTAATCTATTAGCTAGCCTTAGCTAGTATAGGCTTTCTTTATCTCTTATAAGAGTCTAGTTCTGAAGTATATATTCTTATAAGATATAATTCTTTATAGCTCCTGAATCTATTATAATCTTTGCCTTCTTATTATTTAGAAGTATATATAATATTATATATTATAAGTAATATATATCTAATATTATAATTATTTGTGACCTTTTTTTTTATATTCTTTAAGTTATCTTTTTAAAGAACTTCCTAATTTTTTGACTTTTCTAGTACTTTATAAGTGTGTATTTTTATAATCTAGTATTTAAGTATCTTATAGCAGGGGGTTTGTACCTCCTTAATATTTACTATTAAATAAATATTTAAACTTTCTTTTTTTTTTTTAATATAGTTCCTAAAATATATATATCCCTTATATTCTTTCTAATAAGGGCATAACTTATTTAAGTATAAAAAGTATCTATAAGGTTCTTACTAAGTATAGTATTCTAAAACTATAGAAAAGGGTTTCTTAACTTAGGTAGGTTCTGCCTCCTTTAGATTAAGCTTTTTAATGCTCTTATTACTCTTAATCTCTTTTTAAGTTAGGCTTTAAGTAATAGTTTTTTACCTATATTTAAGTTTATTTAATATAATACTATGGGCGCTGAAGTCGGACTCTGTACCTCCTCGTGGGAGCGCCTGGTAACCTCCATCGTCATATGGAGGGCTAACACAGAGACGCAAGCACGTCGCCGGCGGGCTCGACGCGGCGGATGGAGACGTCGAAGAAAGTTCTCAGTTGGAGTCCACGACGCTCAAAGACATTCAAAACGTACGAAACGCACGACGAGCGCAAGCCAAACGCAGGCGACACAACAAGGACTCCGCGGATTCCAAGTATCCTCCGAAAGCCAATTCAAAACTGTTACAATTATCAACTCAAAGCAGCCAATCCTTTTACGAACAGTGCCGACTACTACGCCAACAGTCTGTGAGCGACTACTTGAGTTGCAAGAGCCAGCGACCGAGCAATGTACGAAGTACTTAGTAAGAGAGGGATTTCACACAGAAACAGTCATCAAGAGGAGGCGGCCAGTCACAACAGAAGACACACAGCGTCCACCATAACGCTGTGTCATCACAGATACTGATCTGGGCTCGGGCGTGGGGGAGGCAGCTACCTCTCTTGGACGCTCAGCCAGGCAAATGGTTCAAAGGCAGCCAGCAAAGTCAATTGAGGCGGCTCTCTATGGGCATCCGGTTTGGTTTGTGCGTGCGACTCGGAAAACTCTTCGAAGCTAGATGGCAACTAGGTCTTAGGGCAAGGGTCGTACGGTGGGACGCAAGCGGCTTGTGTGCATTTAGGGTGCGTTATAGTTAGCCCTAGGTTTTACTGTGCTGTGCAGGGGCCACACAGGTTTTTCCTAACACTAGGTAGGCTTCTGCCCACTCTCTTGACGTCGACTATATCTTCAACCTCCCACGCCTCCTCTTCTTCTGTCTCTACTAGCAGAGGCGGTGGGTACTCCTGCCCTAGCAGAGGGTTAGCAGGGTCCTTGGTCAGCAGTGATGCATGGAACACGTTGTGAATCCTCATCAACGAGGGCAGTTCTAAACGAAAACTCTGCCTAAGCCTCTTCACAACGGGGAATGGCCCAATCCATTTCGAATCGAGTTTCTTGCAAGGTCTTGTCGTGCTAATGTTCTTTGTTGATAGCCAGACCTTATCTCCTTCTTCGAAATCGATTTCCCAGCGATGCTTATTCGCCTGCTCTTGTTGCCGCAACTGCGCAGCCTTTAGATACTCCTGTGCCTACTTCCAACCCTTTTCTATTGGCCTTGCTAGGTTCTTAGCCTTCCCTAGGGCTACGCGTTTCCTTGCTGTCTCTGCAGACTTAGGCTTGTTAAAGCTCATCCTTAGCTGATATCCGCGTATGATTATGAATAGCGATAGCTGTGTGGACTTAGATACTGCTGCGTTTGTAACAAATTCGGCACTCAAGAGAAGGTCGTTCTAATTATTCTGTACAAAATCTATATAGGCCCTTAAGTATTGTTTTATCTCTGCATTAGAGACTTTTGTCTGGCCATCTATCTGTAAATGATAAGCTATAGATAACTTCGCTTTGATTCCTAAGATTTGGCACTATTGTTTCCACACTTTGCTAGCGAACTGCGGCCCTTAGTCAGATATAATTGTCTAAGGAAGCCTATAGAGCTTCCACATGTTCCTGTACAGTATCTTAGCTGTCTTCTCTAAAGTTGTGCCCTCCTCTACAACTGTGCAAGGGATATAGTAGCGTTCCTTGCTTAGCTGATTAATAATCACTAGAATAATGTTGTAGCCTTCTAATGTCAGCAATCCTGTGACGAAATCCATCAAGATATCCTATTAGAGGCGCTCAGGAATCAGAAGAGGTTGCAACAGGCCTGCAGGGAGCTGATGCACAGGTTTGGTCCTCCTGCAGACATGACAATTCCGCAAGAATCTCCTGACCAACGTGTATCTATTCAAGATATAGTACCTACTATTCGCGATAGCCTTTCTTGTCTTTGTACAGCCTGAGTGCCCAGTCTCCTTGCTCTCGTGGAACTCTCGAATCACGTCTGTCACCATTACTACTGGTACTGCCAGTTTTTTTCTGTACCACAGCACTCCTTCCTTGTCTTCACAATTTTGAATGTTGTACCCAAATATTTTCTTCTTTGGGTTCTCTATTCGTTTCTCCATCCTAATCGCGTTGAACGTCTCGTCAACCTGATTCTCTTTCTCTACCCTCTTCCAGAGTAGCAAATCTTCCTCCTCTGGCAACGCCTGTACTACCAAGATCTTCAGGTTGTCTTTCACCTCCTCAGACAGCATGTTTGATTGCAGAAGGGTCTGATACAGATTAGGATCTTCCTTCGCTCTTAGGATCTCAGTTTCCCTTCAAGTTAATACGTCAGCTTTTCCGTTGGCAGCTCCTGGGTAATATCTGATCTTAAAGTTGTATTGAGATAACAACTCCGCCTAGCGTGCTTGCCAACGTGTTAGCTTCTTTATTAATATGAAATATCTAGAGCCTTGTGATCTGTGAGTATTTAGACAGGATATCCTCTCTTAGCGAGCGTAGCTCTAGCGACTATTCCTTGAAACAATAGATAATAGCTAGCAGTTCCTTGTTGTAAATCGTGTAATTATGCTCTGCTGATGCTATACTTGTTGAGAAGAATACCACAGGATAGAGTTCTCCATCCTCCCCTTGTTGCAAGAGCACTCCACCAACTGTATAGTCGCTCGCAAGTAAGGACTAGCTTCTTTAAAACGAGGTCCTTTAGGGCCTAGAACGCCTTAGTACAGCGGTCATCCCAGGTGCGCCCCGCATTCTTCTTCAACAGGTCATTCAGCGGCCTTGCTACCTTGCTGAATTCTAAGCAGAATCGTCGATAGAAGTTGATAAACCCTAGGAATCTCTGCACTACGCGGACATCTCCTGGGTTGGGTTTCTCTCACTCCCGAATAACTCGTACGCGCTCTGGATCCATCTGAATGCCCTCTAGAGTCACGATCAACCTGAGATACTTTACTAACTGCGTATAGAACTCGCTTTTCTTAATGTCAGCCTAAATATCACTTTCGTGAAGAATCTGTAAGACCTCTTCTTGTCGTAATGAGCTGAAGATCAAGATGTCGTCTAAGTATAGCACAACGAATTTTCTAAGCACCTTTATGAATTTCTCGTTTATGAAGCGTTAGAACGTCATTAGCGCAGAGGTTAATCCGAACGGCAGTACCCTATATTGGTAGTTACTATACGCAGTGCTGAACGTGGTGAGTTCGCTTTACTAACTGCGTATAGAACTCGCTTTTCTTAATGTCAGCCTAAATATCACTTTCGTGAAGAATCTGTAAGACCTCCTGTACGTGTTGCTTGTATTCTTTTCTTAATTAGCTGAAGATCAAGATGTCGTCTAAGTATAGCACAACGAATTTTCTAAGCACCTTTATGAATTTCTCGTTTATGAAGCGTTAGAACGTCATTAGCGCAGAGGTTAATCCGAACGGCAGTACCCTATATTGGTAGTTACTATACGCAGTGCTGAACGTGGTGAGTTCGCAGTCCTTCTTAGTCGCTAAACGAATCCAGTGATATACCTATTAAATATCTAGCTTAAAGAAGACCATAGCTTTTCTAAGAAGACTCATAGTCTTATTGATCCGAGGGATAGCGTAGCTATTCTTCTTTGTAATAATGTTCAGATCCCTAAAATTGACACAGAAACGGAGTCCCCCTTAGGGTTTCCGTACTAGAAGAATTAGCGATGCGAACGAGGCGGTGCTTGGTTCAATGAACCCCTTCTCGAGATGCTCCTCGATGTATTTCTTAATCACCTTGAGCTCATCTGGGCTCATCCTACGCAAGGGCTGCGTTCGGGGCAGTTCGGCACCTGCTTCCAGTTCGATCTTGTGGTCATACTCCTCCCTATGCTCTGGAAGAGTATCAGAAACCTCCTTTGAGAAGACATCTGCAAATTCTTGAAATTCCACTAGAAGAACCTCCTTTAGATCTGGTTCTGGCTGGATCTGTTTCTTAATGTATTTATTTATATCCTTTATTGTAATAGCAAACATTTCTGCACCAGGGGTGATTAATAATCGCTCAAATGCTATAATGCTTACAGGCTTAGTACTATGCTGGGCTGCCCTGGCCTCTTTGACCTTCCTTCTGTGGGTGATAGCTGTGATTGTCCTGCTATCTAGAGTCTTCTTTACCTTGACAGGGCGTAGAGGTCATGAAACAGCCAGGGCTGTTTTAAGACGCTTGAGAATCTTCGTCACCTGTAATAGCAATGCTCTAATCGGGTTAGCCTGAAATTTGGCTGTATATATATAGCCAAATTTGTCACGTGGCTTCTTTATTAGCTCTTCCTCTGTTACTTGCTCCTCAGCCCTAGGCTTATTACTCTGACTCTTGTAGTTCTGCTAAAATGTAAGTTGCTCTTTATAATCGCAATCCCCTACAAACTTTACTAACAAATCCCTAGGATCTAAAATGTAACTGTGCAGCCTTATCCACTTCTTCCCTAAGATTATAAAGTATATAGCCTTTATTATATAGAAGATCTGCGATCTCTGCTAGTGTTCACTAATATATATAAGCAAATAAAGGGCTTAAGAGATAGATTAATAGATCTTACTAGCAAAATCAGAAATAGGAATAGGTTTGACCAGGTCTATTATATTAATCTGTAACTTTTTACAAAGTTGTTCTGCTAATTAATAATCTATAACTGCGCTTAACTAATATCCTGTATCTAATAGTGCTAATACTGTCAATCTTTCTCTCTCCCTCCTAACGCTGACGTTAACCAGAAATAGAGCCTCGAAATTACCCTCCGCCACTGCGACAGGGATCCCTATGGCTTTTCTACTAGTTGCGCTGCTAGGCCTGCTTATGACGTCTTAGTAGCGGGCAGCTCTTTTCCCGATTGCTCTCGTGCCTGAGGGCAATCCTTTATGTAGTGTCCCAGTTTCTTATAACGGTAGCACCTTACTGTGGACACATCTCTCGGAAGTCGTGGCTTAGCTACTGGCCTCTCCTCCTTCGCTGTTAATTCGCTAGCAGATTGACGAGTGCTCGAAACCGAAGGTTTCGCCGGCGTGCTGGCGCTGGCTGCCGGTTGGTTCAATGCGATACGTCGACTGTTTATGTCGGCGTACGTCAGGTCAGTGATCATCTCCTGAATTGACATATATCTGCGGAGAATAATGACTTGCTTCAGATCATCTCGAACCTTATCTCGAAGGTCCATGATCTGGTCCTCTTCTCGGACTTCTGCTTCGCGGGAAAGCCGTCGGAAGTCCCTTAGGAAGGTAGCGAGGTCCTGCTGCCTTTGCTGTAGGTAGTGGTACTCCCGACGAGCGGTCTCCTGCTGAAACAGGGAGTCAAAGCGATTCGCTATATCTGTAAAGATATCCGAAATCTAGGCCCTTTCAAAGTCTTCGAAGTAGGACCTAAGCAATTCACGAGCGTTACCGCCGGTACGCGACTGCACGTAGGCGACCTTAGATAGTTCCGTTGGAAAAAGCGCTGCGTTAACCATGAACTTCATCTTCATGGCTGACAACCAGGAGCGGAACTTCTGAGGAGGACCGTCCTCAAATACCTCTAGGTGAGTGAAGATTGTCGAATTTCTAGCAGTACCATAGATCTACCTGGCCTTATTTCATCTTTTCAGATCTTTCCGCCTTGAACATTCTTATTGACGCATTCTCCTTTCCCTGCCATGGCATCCACTCCTCCTCCCTTTTCTGTCGAGAACGGCCACGTCTCAGAGAAGAGTGATATAACACCAGTTTCCAATGGAGACGCTATCGAGTCTACCAGCATCAATGAGAAGGCATTGATGCGAAAAATAGATTCAAGGCTACTTCCTGCAGTGACTCTGCTTTACCTCTGCTCTTTTCTCGACCGCAGCAATGGTGGGATACAGGTCTCTTAGAATTGATAATAGCATATACTAACTTGTTGCGCAGTGGGAAACGCTCGGCTCGAGGGTTTGTCAAGCGACCTTGACATGACCGGAAATCAGTATCTCACCAGTCTCACTCTATTCTTCATTGGCTACGTCTTATTCGAAGTCCCTTGCAATATTGTCCTCAAGCGCACGTCTCCGAAGTTCTGGCTTCCAACCATGACGCTGATGTGGGGCACCGTCTGTACACTAATGGGCGTCTCACAGAGTCGCATTGGCTTCTTCATCGTGCGCTTCTTCCTCGGTGTGACTGAGAGTGGCCTCTTCGCAGGTGTGGTCTTTTATCTATCTATGTGGTACAAAAGAGACGAAGTACACTTTCGTGTTGCGCTCTTTTTCAGCGCTGCATCACTCGCCGGGGCCTTTGGTGGTATTCTTGCCTGGGGCATTGCTCATATGAGAGGCGTGGGTGGTTATGCAGGATGGCGTTGGATCTTCATCCTGGTATATATGGACTAACGCACTACTATAAATATACGATACTAATAAGTCAAATATAGGAAGGTCTTCTCACGGTCTCAGTGGGTGCTGGAGCTTATTTATTCATATTCAACTATCCTGACACGGCGGGAATACTTACGAGAGATGAACGAATATTCATCCAGCACCGGCTCAAGGAAGATAATGATTCAGTCCGAGATGAAGCATTCAACTGGACTAACGTGTCAAAAGCCATGGCAGAGGAAATGCATCATCCATCACAGGCATAAGCCTTTCTTGTATCTTTCTGTCTACTGATCCCCAGAAATTCTCTATTTGCTTTTCCCATCCTAACTCTTCTTTAGTGGCCCTTGTTTTCTTCCTTTTTTGGTCGCGTCTAAGTCTATTAATATGTTTCTTCCTACAGAGTAACATCCTAGAGTTCTCTGTTTTGGATATTGCGTGTTTGCCTTGTATCACACTAGAAAATTAATATGGCTTTTCTTTTGGCCCCTTTTAAGTTGTCTTTCATAATTCTGGTTATCGAACTTGATCGTTATCTCAATCAAAGGTGACAATTCACTTGGTCGGTCAATCTTAGATAGGTCATCTTTTACTGAATCCTTTAGTCCTTTGTAAAAGATGGCTGCCAATGCGGCATCCTTCTAGTCAACTCGTGAGGCGATCTGGTGAAACTTAGAAGCGTAGTCTGCAGCGGATCCCTTCTGCCTTATGCGCAGTAGGTCTCGTTCGGCTTCCTTGACTGTATCCACGTCCTTATATACTTGCTTGATCTTAATCACAAAATTAGCAAAGCTATAGAAGATCTGTTACGTATCCGGTTCTTAATCCTCTAATGCTTCCTTAAGCTTGTCCTTAAGGTAGGGTTTAAACTAGTCGTATACGGCTCCTCAAAGAAAGGTAGCTGTATACAAGACCTTCTTTTTATTAGTATCTACTGCTTATGTATAAAATAAAAAGTTAATTTATAACTAGTTTAAGAATTCTCAAAGTCTCTTTTTATCTCTATAGAATAGATCTAGTAGTATAACTTTGAACTATATATTTCTTCCTCAGTCTTTAATAGCAGCGATGCTTATTAGTCCTAAGGTAACTAATATAATATATGTTTTTAAGTAACATATATAGTATCTGTTTAACTGTACTCAGTATTCTTAAGAGTAATAGTCAAAGTATTAGGGCTTAACTAGTTAAGACAAGTCTTAACTAGAAGCTAGGTCTAAAGGGTTAATTAGGTAGAACAGGAAGTGCAGTGAATAATACTAGAATGTCTTTAACTTAGGTATGAGCTGATAACATGAGTTGACTACAAAGACTCTGAAACTATCTGGGAAATAAGTGTGCTTATATAGACTAGAAGATTTGTGCTCAGAGTTGATCATCTTGATCACCTCTGATCATTGCTCATGAGTGCTCACCCTGATCACCTCTGATCATTACGTTGTCCAGGTCTGACCTCGTGTGCAGTTCAGGGTCCAGTCCTGTCCAAGTCTGTCATAGTTCCTTCGCAGAGTGCCAGGCAGCTCCGTAGTGCCTGTCTGTGCTTGGCGTGTTCACGTGCTATAACAAAATGCTTAATTGCCCTCTTTTATTAATAATCTAGATAATCACGAATTTCTTACTTCTATTAAGTATATAGGCACTAATAAATTTCTTATATTACTAATTCTTATAATAGTACTCTAAACCCTCTCTAAGGCTATATTTATTAATAAATTACCTCTAAATTATCTTATTATGTATAGCAAAACTGGATATTCGAATTCTGATATTTATAATAAGTAGATTTGTTATTTTAATAAATCTATAAAAGTTATTACAAAAAAGGTATATTAATTACTAATTTTAAATTTAAATTTATATAATTTTGCTAAGATATTACTATTATTCTTTTTTGCCTTCCTTTTTATTCTACACATCTTTTATAGCCACTCAATATAATATGCTTTTAATTACTTAAGCATTATTATATAGAGGCTATTAATTATGCTATACAGCTTAGCAATTACTTATTTTCACAAGCAGTCTTTTTAGCTAATATTTATAAAATCTGTATACAGACTTTTAAGAATTTTATAATTCTAAGTACATTTTAAGAAACTAGTCTTATGCCTTATAATCTAAATATAGTAATTGCTAAATTGCCTCCTTTATTAGTTCTTGATTCTAAAAATAACTCTGAATCAGAGTCATTAGATATTACAAAAAAAATTGCTCAATTTGCAGAGCAAATTCGGACGGATATAGAGTTTGATTCGAAGAGCGAATTACTTGTGCACAAATTCATTAAGGGTGCTATAGCGCGTGTACAATCAGGGGCCTAAGCAGAGGCGGATTTGGAGCACACTCAATTGGCCGAAGCAGCACGCGCTGCACGTGCGAAAGCCACGCATCGTACCGTACAAAAAGGGGGCATTATTACTGTTGAGAAGGCCAAGGAGCGAATTCGATTACGCACGCGAAGGGAGCAAGAGAGTTGGGAGAAGAAGGAGTACTCTCGGCGTCAATGCCCTAAACGGGACAGACCCAAGTTTGTACGCTTCTATAGGGCTATTTCTGCGCATGCCCGTCTTCGTATTAGTACTATGGACCCTGAGGACCAATTAGATTATCAATTGAGCGATGAGGGGGGGCAATAGCTATAGAAATTGAAAAAATCTATCGTTGCGCTGCGTTCTATCGTTGCGCTGCGGTGCACTAAGCTGCAAAGCTTAGTGCAACTGAAAGTGCACGGTTACGTCATTCAACGTGGCTTCTACATTGTTTCCTACATCAAAGAGTTGTTTTACTACTTATATCCCTCTTCTTGTACTCTGTACATTGATTCTAGTTCTTTGCGCTCAATATATCAATCGTCTACCCCCCTTGCACTCCCCTGAGATCCTAACATTTGGTCACCACCAGAAAAAGGATGTATCAACCACCCCGGCAAAAGGACAGCGCTAATGAGTTTCGAACTATGCCATCAGCACAGTCACCGTTAACACTTTCAATGAAAATCTCAGCTACAGTCTTATCGTTTCTATTCTGTCCTTTGGCAGGACCGCATTGGCATTTCCACTCATGAGTTGCAAGGCTACTGGTCAGCCGTCCTAGTAGCGCTTATTTAGGCTGCTCTAGTATGTTTTCCCTTTGCCAGCGCAATCGCATATAAATGAGGCTGGGTAAGGTCCCATCCATATTTGGCCAAGTAATATCTATTGCGGTATGGTTATTTTCGGATGGGAAAGGTCAATAGAATGCCGGGATTGACTACCACCGGAAAGTCATCTTGATTGTTATAGGTCGTTCTATCCTGGTGCTCATCAATGCAAGATGTTCGTAAGGTACAGTTGCTGCATTCAGATGTGTCAGACAAAAGCTAGTTTACGGTCCTCTGAGGGCCGCGGTCCTTTTGGTCCAACAAGATGATTGTTGGAGTCGCCATACCTGGTCATATCATAGGGTCAAAAGGCATCGGGAAGACTTCAGGAACCGTGGCAAATTACCTTTGATGGAAAAGACCAGCAATAGTCCAGGTTAAAATCAAAGACTTACTTATTCCAGATGATGGGCATCGTCAATGTCAGTGAACTCGTCTCTCTACCTCTGCTATATAGTCAAGGCGGCGTTTTTACTATTTCTGCCCCAGGCATCAGCTTCCTCGTGCTTGATCTACTGCTGCTGATATTGCTGATCTAAAAGAAGATTGCTGCCTGCCACCATAGCGATGTGCCTACCATTGGCACATGATTCGACACCAATAAACTCAATGAGCCGCAGGTCCAGCGCCGAAAGGAACTGCCTGCGACAGAGCGGAGCCTGCTGCTCGGCTCTAAAGAAAAGCTACGCGAGTGCTTATCGCACCAAACCGGTGTAGCTTCTTGCAATGGCATCAATGCTCTTGTGCCTGCGCAATTCCTTGTTGGCTCAAGCCATAGTCGACTCCACCTTTCAAGCCGCTATTCTGGGCCCCTTTGACGTCACAATCCTTCTTGAAAGATCTCTTCAATGTCGGTTCATTCCATGTCGGCTTTCTTTCTTTCTCTTTAATGAGGCCGAGACTATCCACCGATCACACCGGCAGCTGGCCTGTGGACCTTTACAAGCCAGAACGTAACTTTACCGTACTTGGTAATTCCCTTCTCCCAATGGCTCTGGTTTCAATCCGAACACTGAAGGTAGACCCCCGGCATGCAGATCGCCTTCGTTGCGGCTAGCGCAGGAGTTGGAGAGTGTCACAAACGCAGTCCTGATTTCCCTGATGCCAATGTGCGGACTAAGTATATGACTTTCAGTGTCCAGAATGCCCATTGGCACGTTGCTGGCAGGAGCTACAGGCGAAATGTAAGTTCGTGATGAAAGATGGTGCTGTCCCAGGCGGCAAGCGTTGAGCAGTGACGATAACCAAAATTGGCCACAAAAACATGCATTTGGTATTCATCAGATTGGCGGGCCTGGCACGATTACTTTTTTATCTGGGAGAAGCTGGAAACCCTGCTCTCAAAAGGAATTGCAGTGCTTACACGCCAAGGGCCAAAAGCCCAACCTTAGCTATTAGAGTTTATAAACTGATTGATAAATATGGCCGAGTGAGAACTGTCGAAGACAAGTCATCAATCATGATCTCAGCCCGATTGCTGGTAGTACAGATTCGGTGCCTTGACTGCGAGCACACAGTATCTGGGGGGCGGCAGAGTTGAAGTCGACCTTGATCGGGTATACTCCGCAGTACGAAAGCGTTGTAAGCATGGTTGGATGATCAGAATCCGATGATATTGGAATCTGGCCATGATAAGTTGACTTGGCTGGTCGAAAAAACGGACTGGCTACGTGGGAAGCAACATATAGTAATCTGTTGTGGTTTCCTAGTCATGTTCTTTACCAAGGGTTTCCTCAACGTGGGAAACGGTGCGCATATACCAGCAGGTATCAGAATTCATTGCCCTTTGGGGAAATGATCCCTTACCAAAGGTGCAATGAGTTTGGATGCCGCCTGCTAGATGAAAGGGGATGAAAGGGGTTATGGGTGGCCTAAACCCCGTTGACATGGATGTACACCTTCAAGTGCAGTTTTGCGTACGTACTTTAGGGCGGCACTTCAATGGCCATGGCCAAGATACGAATACTGTAACGTATTAGCAACTCAACCGCTTAAAGTTTTGCGGTAATGACTATAAACTCGAGGGACGGACAAATAAATATTCGAAACCATGGAACTTCGATTCATGAACGATTGTGTAGTCCGCGTCATGACACAGAAAATCATTGCAGCATAAACGATTCTCAAGTCTGCCACGTTGACCGCTAAAGATGACCACAAACAATACACCAAGGTTGCAATAGATTTGCCTAGCACTGAGAATCTATTATCACTTGTCAAGCCGTTGAAGGCAGCTCGAAGCTCCGAGATAAAATCAGATAGCACAACCATCTGTGGGTCTAAAACCTGGCAAGTGACTGTCAAGGCTCTTAACATCACAGAGCGCATTTTGAGCGCTTTGTCAAGATCACGCATGATTTATAGAATCGGGCTAACCAAGCTGTGTACGATACGCTTCTCCGGGAGAATGAAGCTCTCCACCAGAACGCTCTTGTTGGCACATATCGCGCACAAATGGATAAATATCCTCGGCTAGGCGTTGGACGGAGCTCACCCAGCAGAATTTGCGTCGTGAGTCGTGGGCCGCCTGGATGCGTTCACTTCCACCCACGGAGCCAACAAACTTCGTGAAGCGTTTGGTTTCGGGAATGATTGCTTTCTCATCCCGTCTGAATTCAGAGCGCAGACATAATGGAGTATTCAACCTCCAAAAAATCATCTTGGGCGGACGCTCAAATGCGCCGTCATTTTGGCTTGCCTCGACTCGTGAGGCTGCAAGATTGCACAAAGCTAGCATGGTACTGATCTTGCTAACGTGTAAAGCGCGGCTGTCAAGTAGTGCTAAGTGGCCAGCATTTTAGTTCAGGGAGTTGAGATTGATGAGCCGATGTCGTGTACTGCATTGTGACTCAGAGAGAGCCGTTACCCAATATAAACCTCAGATAATCGGGTTTGATATGAAGCAAGAAGTACCTGATATCCTGACATATAGGAAGTGTGGTCAGCTTCAAGGCCCAGATCTGATTGGTCTTGGCAGGAGAATCTTGACATCAAAAGAAAGCAGAAACGTCCTCCCTGCTTGTGGGCCAATTACAAGCTTGTCAGAGACTGTCATTTTCGCGGGTGAGCTGGGAGATTGATAGGGCACCCCACCCGAGTCGCTGGCGAATGCCACCTGGCAACCGACCTTTCAATTGCTATCCCTTGAACAGCTGAACATCCAAGATAATGGAACTGAGAGCCTTCTGAAACACGACGCCCACAGATGAGTCACATGATGCTAGTACCTTCAATCTAATATCCTGGTCGTATAATATGTTAACGGGGCATAAAATAGTTCATGAATGAACAGAATACTGCTGCTGTAAGTAAGGCAGTCCAGGCAGAAGCAGCATGCAAATCTCCCCATCAATACATACTGCAGCAAATTCACTCCTGCCCCGGCGGATCCGTGATATACCCCCAAGCATTCCGATAGGGGCTTAGGTACTCCCTGGACCCGTCGCCACGGTCAAAGTATACATCGCCCCATTTATCGAAGCTTGGGCCTAGTGGCACATAGACCAGCTTTTATGTATTATGGTGTATATGTAGCCGAGGAAGACCAGCTGCGGTTATAGGGGCGGCGCGTAGAGCATTCCTTGTTGCTGTGAAAAAGGAGGGCCACAGCGCATCTTTTGGTGTTGAGAGCCAGGGAGGCCATAGTGGGTGCCTGGTACGGGTGCAGGAGAGGGGTAGCCGGCAGTGTAGGGTTCGACGGTAGCGACGGTAGGGGGTGAGCCGAAGTAGTTGCTTCCGTCGCGTTGATTTACGTCAGCTTGGGAGGAGGGCCGAAATATGGGGAATGTTGATTGTATGTGGGGGGGGGGATTTTAGGGTAGATTTGGTTGGAGCTGTTGCTCTACAAGCGACGAAGGCGTGAGCGGTCTATACCCTTACGGAGCCAAAAGGCAGAGGAAAAGATAAAGGCGTAACTGATCTCTCGTCTGGACATTGCTAATTGGAAATTGGAAGGCGGACGACCAAATTTGTTAGGGGATACGTATCTCCAAGCGCGTACGACTAGTGGAGATTCGTGTATTCTTGGCTCTGGCGAGAGGTACTATAGTAGATCCCTCCACCTTTAGCTGCCACCTTCAGCTTCGTATCATTTCACGTCATGCTAGGGGTAGAGGGGTATTCCTATGACCTGTAGAGTCATCATGTGAAATTGAAAATCAATGAAAATCAAATTACATTTAAGTTACGAGATTCCAGTTTCTTGGCAACGATGACTACTAGTACTGCTGGTACCACCAGTACTGTACCTAGTACTAAGTAGTAAGTAGTACTTAGCATTGCGCTTGGCTCCATCCTCCTCGACATTCTGGTGGACTACGATTACATGCCCACCATTTAGCGTATTGAAGCAAGTGATGGAGGGGGCATATACGTGTGCGAGGTGCCTGAGAGCCTTGGGCTCAAGCTCGAGCGTACCGACAAGGAATATCTCTCGAACAGCAATGAAGCGCATTCGTGAACGCAGCTTTTCATCTCCCTCAGCCAAGTTATCGAAACAGTCCCACCTGGCAAGGAACACGCCTTTTCTTCACCCAAAGCAACCCTATCTAAACCGAATGGCGCACACTGCCACCGCTCCAGTCGAGGAACCTGATAACTTCGAGCGCCACAATCAGTTGCCGAACAAATATGGTGAATACAGAGCTCACCCAAGAACTGTGCTCGGGTCTGATAATCTGTTCCACCCATTCTCCAGGTCACCAATACCGGAGATTCGTCAACGGGCCGCCTTTACCAAACTACACGCATATTGTCCGCATCCTTCGCATCAACAGACTCGAATACCTACCTCACCCCATGATCCTGAATCGCGAAAGGTGCCCGAGGTATCGGTAGCACCGCCAGCGCATGTTCATTTTGAATGTCCAGACTGCGGTATAGCCACATACTGCACGGAGGAGCATTGGGCAGACGACTACGAGGCGCACATGGAGATTTGTGACACACTGCGACAGATCAACGAGGATGACCATGATTTACGATCAGGGCGGTGGTTTCCCGAATTTGATTATCCGGGACCACAACTGGATGAGATACTGGTAAACATGACGAGTTGGGACACCTATCTCTATACTCGAGGCTTTGAGGCGATTAATGAAGAACGAAGCATGCGTCAGGCAACGCGACTGCTTACCTACCCGTTGACCGTGGGTAGTGTTCTGCATGAGCTCAGTCCATATAATATACGAGCTGGAGGAAGACTGACGACGGAGGGTCTCAAAAGCTTGAGTGGTAAGTAGTGAAGGTCGACGCGGTAATCCTTACTGACTCGTCCTGAAGCATTACGTTATACACTACATCCACCACGAACAGGCCAAGGCAAAGACATTGCTGGCTTGCGCTTGACCAGTCCTCCCGTACGAATATTCATCCTCGGTGCGAGAGCCGAGTCATCATTACCACGCGAAGTATGGATGCAATTATCCTACATCTTCCCTCGATCAAGCCTACACCTTGTCTTTATTGGACCAGAATCCATGGCCAACAGAGATGCAGAATTTCCACTGCCAGAACGGACAGCTGCCAATCCATTTGGAGCTGTTGTTGAGGATCGGATATCGGACAAAATGAAGATTACCACCTACGTCGAATACTTTCATACCCTGCATGAAGCGAACCTCTTTTATCCTTACGACCCATACTTCGATTGTTTTATGCTTTACCATCCTGGCCTTGGCCATCCTGCTTCGTCACACGAATGGGCAGACACCCTACCTCGACTGTTAGAAACGAAGGTGCCCGTGATATGCACAGGTTACACGGAGTGGGACATGCAACGAGATTGGAAGTGGGTGATGGAAACATGTGCTGGAGAGGTGGATCTGCTGATGGAGCCGGGAGAGAATCGGTTTCGCAGTCTAAGGTGGGATTTAAACGATCTAGATCCTCAGGATATCAGTTGTGGTAACTGGGGTGTGTGGGCTTTTAGGGGAAAGAGGTATGATCTCCGTTCCGGTTCACTGCCACTCAGCCATGCTAATCCCGTCTCTACAGATACGAAGCCACACGCAAGGAGTTGGAACCATAGAAAGTGTACACAATGTATCACACTATCCTGTCAATGCGGCTCAGATTCTTCAATTATGTACAAGGTCAGCCTTCTGAAGGAATTGTCCCTGGTTTCAAGTCCTTACGCCGGCCAAGGCACTCCAGGCTGACTGTTGCGATTTCCACGGTTCAACTCTCGTATGATTTGGCCGGAAGTTAGCACCACCATCTCGCCAACATGCAACCAGCCAAGCCGTCAAGCGAATGGCACTACACTCCAATATTACGTAGGAAGAGCAAAGAGTGGTAGGAGCGGTCGATTTGATTGTACGAACGTGACGATCTGATCTGTTTCGCCACCTCTTTCTCTTCATGACGTTCAATTACACTCACATGGCCAGATTCTAAATTACGTGCATTAAAGTGGGCGAATGATGGGCCTTAGGCAAGGGGCTAACAGGCATTCAAGCCACAAACTAGGCCTGTATGCCTCTAGTTCTCGTAGTGGACCCCCGCAACCGGGTCATGATGAGGCGATGCTCTAACAATCCCAAAACGCCTCTCCTTGTACCTGGGGCAGTTTGTCTTTAACATTCATAAATATCAAGACTGTGTACCTTGTGCTAACATTCCAACCAAGGTCCTACTACATCCGCATAAATCTGCCTTAACCATACGCTACCCAAATCCACAACTCTCCTGCTTGTGCATTAGCTAGCGCAAATTCTTGACTGCGGAATAAAGACAAAAGCCCACAACTGCCACTGCGGTCTACAACCTACAACACATCGCAACTCAGTATCATCCTACCATCATGAGAATCCTATCACTTGCTGCGCTTCTTCTCTCCACATCACACCTGATCAACTCGGCCTCAATACCTCAATTTCCAAACTCCGACCTTATCGCTCGCGAAGCCTCCTCAGAACTCATCTCACCTCCATCTCTACTAGACCCACATTCGTCTCGCGCTCTTAGAAAACGGAAAGGCGGAGGCGGTGGCAGAAGCAGTGGTGGAAGCAGCAGTAGCAGCAGTAGCGGATCATCCAGCGGAGGCTCGCGCTCTGGCGGCATCGGTGGAGGACGCACCTATTCCTACTCTCCGAGTAGCAACGCTGGGGGAAGAACACGATCTGGATCTGGCACGCCACCAGCCTACGGTGGTTACTATGCTGGTGGCGCAAAAGTACCCTACGCAGCCGGTGGACGATCACCCCGAGGTTTCGTTCCTTTCCTCCTACCCATCACCGCCTTTGCTTTCTTCCCTGGCATCTGGCTCTACGGCTCGCTGTACGCATACCCGTACGGGACTCCGTATCACTACCGCAACCAGACCGGCTTCAACCAGACCGTCGATGTTACATGTTTGTGTCAGCAGTACTCCGTGTGCGGCTGCGATGACGACGGAAACACCACTTTTGTACGGCAAATCATAGCAGGTGGCACGGACAGGCCGATAAATTCGAGCGAAGTGGTGGTCCTGCCGCCGTTGGCGAATGGAACCCAACGCGCATATATCAACGGCACATTGCCGAACGGAACGACTGCTGCTGGAGGGGAAGATCCAAGCTCAGACGAGGAGATTATTGCTAGCGGGGCCGTCAGGATGGCAGCGAACTATGGAGGATACTGGATCATGCTGATGACGGTTGTGGGGACTCTTTGCGCATTATAGAAATGAGGAGATGGTTTGACCTAAGAGAGACATTGGTTCTCTGACGAAAGGATCCTGAATCGGCGCTTTTCACTTCTCAAGACCATTATTTGAGTTATAATGATCCCAGCAAAGCTGGCTACAGCGGACGAAAATGGTTCCGATTACCCCCGTTCACTTTTAGAGACTGAGCATTCCGAATCAGTACTTCACCTTCGTTGTTATGTTATTTCAAGTACATATATTACCTACTTGTATCTACATCTTGTCTAGCAGTTACCTGCTATACTGCCAATATTTCGGTCTACAAGATTGTGGTGGTGGAATCCATCGCTGTCAAAGGCGAAAAGATCTATTATCCTAAATGCTTCGGAAACATGAGGTGTACCGTCCCACAACAACTCAGCAAAAAGATGCATTATGCGAGCCATATCCCCTATGTCACTGAATCAGTGCAATTGCCTTGTTGAGAATAGCGTTCCAGTACTTTTAGCGTGATGATTCCGCTGCAGTCTTGGCATAAAGAATTATAAATGCGTTTTGTTTTGCATTACTCTAATTCTTATACTTGAGATTTTGAAAATAGTATCATTCGACAGCTCTTGAGATTCTGAACATCCTTGCATCCCAAGATCCTCAAAAATATCAACGTTTGATACTATGTAAAACCTTCAAAATCAAAAATGTACTTAAAAAGTTTTGAATGTTACTCTTGCCTAGTAGTAGGCTGCAACAGAATTTCCACTTTAATTCATTTAAGCTCACGGGAAGGCTATTTTCAAAAAGGCAGTTGCACAGATTCAGCGATCCAGGGGATAGCCAGCTCGGACCTCCGGACCAAAAATCAGGCAGCACACCCCGAAACATCGCCTCCATTTCAGAGGCTCCTCCCTCTTTCCCTCTACGTTACACATTCTGGTGCAAGGCGCATCGTAACCATTCCTTCTCCCCAAACCACTGCCCCCACCAACATCAAGCCTCCCTCTATCCGCCGTATCCTCCCTATTTCCAGCACGAAACGCCTCTCGCAATACACGACCTGAGTGCCCGACGGCTGATCAAGCGTAGCGCATTTCAGGTTGCTATCAAATTCCTCTTTGTGTTGCATAAACTCGATCTTATAGCCGCAGCCGGCATCGGCATCCCCAACGGACAGGGCATTGATTGCATAGCAGCCCCCTATCGACTAAGTCTGGAGTGGGGTGCGGGATGGCTGTAGTAGGTAGGCGCTGGTGCGTGCTTTGGAAGAGTTGTATCTGCTGACGTAGTGGTGGATATACTGTACTATGTTAATCCACAAACCATGTCAAAGCGGTGTCGTCTTTATTTACGCTAAAATTGCAGTGCAGATGGCTGAAAATGTCTGATTCCATTAGATTTCCTCCTCCAAAGCGCGTCGTCTTTATTTACGCTAAAATTGCAGTGCAGATGGGCGATTTCGATGGGCAGTGCTGGGCACAAATCGCAGATCGGGAGTTAACCAGTAATGGAACTAGCGTTAAGCTAACATTACTTCAGGCCCTCCCCCGTAGTAGATGACCACTTTTTACCCCACCGGCGTGCAGGCTTCAAAACCCTCACAGGATGGACCATGGCACTCGTATTCAAGTCGTGACTACTCTGTACTCCGTCCTGATTTAGCATTGTAAATCGTTAAAATCATAGCAACTTAGCGCAAGAGTATAAAAGGGTTGTAAGCGACGAAGCCCATATATCATGAAATAGTGGAAAAGACGCCGAAAACAGCATCCAAAGGCGCCGTTTCCTGTCTCGAGTTCTACAGAACACAAGGTTCTACAGGTGGTTAACGAGTCAAGAAAATCTTGCAAGAACCTTTCCCTGCTGTTTTTGGTAGTAACCCATCATCTACTCGAGTATGTCAGAGGGGATTCTGTCTGGACTAGCATCAAGTACCACCGAGCAATGCAGGTTCTAACTACTAGTACTCTGTAGGATGAGTAGGATGAGCGTGCAAAATAGCGACAGGGATGCTGAAAAGGATGTGGATATACGTAGTAAAGAGGGCGTTTAATAAGAGATTATGACCAGCGTGGTTACAAAAGTTTTGCCTGATACTATAGTAATCCACAAATCATGTCAAAGCGTGTCGTCTTTATCTACGCTAAAATTGCAGTGCTAACTCGCAAGCGCCATTGATACCCAGGCATGGATTCGGTCTGGACTTGGCATAGCATCGAGTACCGCCGAACACAGCAATGCGGGTTCTAACTAACTAACTTAGTTGTCATACAAACTCGTGGATAGGGAAGATACGCACCGTGGCGACAGGGCGTCGACATATTGAGCTTGTGAGGAAGTTGTTGCTTAGTCAATAGCATAAGCCGTTGGGCACTTATTCCATCGCAAAAGTTAAGTGCAGGAGGGAGGCCCTCAACCCTACGAGTAACTTAGGCCCTGGCCACACTTCTGCCCCTCAAGGTTTCGGCCGAAAAGGAAAATAGGACCTCGGCACAACTCCAACTGGAAGTCTCCGCACCCACACCCACGACTACGATCCGACCTGATTGCGGTGGAGGTACGTTCTGGAAAGATGAACTTCCATTCGAGTCGTCCAAGCTTTCTTCTCCAATGATAAAAATTCCAAACTAGCATATTGCGATATCTGTTTATCGGATACGCAATGTCCATCCAACTCTAACCTGGCTGTCAGCTACTCTTTGACCCCATTTCGCTCTCCGCCAACCTTCCCTCCTTCCCCTGGTCCGAACTGACACACCTCTCTCACTCACACACGAACGATGCGCGCCATCCAAGTCAGCTCTTACGTCTCCTCTCCAACCTCACTGACCGTCTCCACCGTTCCCACCCCCCAGCCAAGCCCCGATAAATACCTAATCCGCATCCGCGCCTGCGGCATTAATTTCTTCGACCTCCTCCAGATCCGCGGCAAATACCAACACCAACCACCCTTACCCTGGATCTCCGGCGCCGAGTTTGCCGGCACCGTCATCTCCGCGCCCACAGCTTCTTCTCGTCCAAGATTCAAACCAGGCGATCGCGTCTTCGGCGCAACGCAAGGCGCATACGCAACGCACATCCTCGCCCCGGAATCCGTCCTTCTCCCCATTCCAGCCAGTTGGAGCTTCGAAGACGCCGCGGGGCTGTACGTCACGGCGCCGACGGCGTATGGTGCGCTCGTCGCGCGCGTGCACACACAACCGGGAGAATGGGTGCTCATCCACGCTGGTGCTGGTGGGGTTGGCCTGTCTGCGGTACAAGTTGCGAAAGCGCTGGGCGCGACTGTGATCGCCACCGCTGGGACGGAGCGGAAAAGGGAGGTCTGTCGCGAATATGGGGCGGATTATGTGGTTGATTATACGGATAACGACTGGCCCGGGAAGGTGCGTGAGATTTGTGGCAAGGAGAGGAGCGGGAATGGAAGGCAGGGTGTCGATGTTGTTTATGACCCTGTGGGGATGATTAGTCAGTCGCTGAAGTGTGTGGTGTGGAATGCGCGGTTGCTTGTTATCGGGTTTGCGGGCGGGGAGATTGAGAAATTGGCGCTGAATCGGGTATTGCTGAAGAATGTGTCGATCGTGGGATTGCATTGGGGCATGTATGCTAGTAAGGAGGCGGAAACAGTGGGGGAGGTCTGGAAGGGCATTTTCAGGTTGATCGAGGAGGGGAGGTTTAGGGGAATAACTTATAAGGATAGAACATTTGTGGGGTTGGAGAGTGTTAAGAATGCCTTGGTGGCTTTGGGTAGGAGGGAGACGTGGGGAAAGGTGGTTGTGAGCGTGAAGGAGGATGAGATGGAGGAGGGCAGGGAGGCGATGGGAAGGCAGAGTAAGCTGTAGTTGTCTTGTGGGAAGATTCTTCATTGGGGAATAATATGAACAAGAGATAACACTGATAGCTCTAAACCCACGCAGAAGGCTGAATTCGCTGAAAGTTCAACAGACTTGGTCCTGATCTTCATCGAATGAGGACAGAGATGTCAGGTAAGCGATGACTTGGTGTATAGCGCTTCATTCAGAGGTCTTTCTATCACCATTCCTAAAAGTGCTCTGAGAACTTCTTTCCACATGTGACCTTCATGCAAACGCCGTCGGTCACCACCGAGATCAATGAAGAAAATGCGATATCGAACCACTTTTGGCTTAGAACGACTGCTCTATTCCTCAAGCTCTACCGTACAGCCGACGGCCAACGCAATTTGCTTCAATGTGTTGCACGCCATCCTTGCCTCGGCACTCCAAATGTGGAGGGCCGTTATTATTCGTTCACTGCAGGGAAGATAGTCTGCGTCGTGTTTGACTTTGCTGTTGAGAAACGGACAGAATGAAACCGAGATGAAAGTTTAAGATAGGTGGAAGGGAGGGACTGGAGCAAGACGCCAGACACAAGGATGAGATGGGTACTCTACTGGGGCTGTTGGCTTCCGTATGGTGCATTTCTGTGCCCGAGAGACGATCATTTTTCATCCCGTCAGGCATGGCTCTTCTCGCTAACATTGAATTCGCTCCACAATCTTTGAGCACCAGGGCACTCGTCGATGTGGTCAAGCATCTCCTGCTCAGAGAATGCCTTCCGCGACATTCTCACAAGCTCTTCGCCTTCCTCGACATCTAATGACCTGCTATGAAGATGAGCTTCGAGCTCCTCCAGCGATGGCTGTTCGAAACAACCTTGACACCACAGACCACGCTCAACGCTGCCTGCTTGGTGGTTGAGCGATGGAAAAGGTGTGGATGCCATGTAACGGAAGGGATCTTCATCATCAGGTAAATCCAACACCTCGTTGGGCAACACAGGTCGTTCAGGAAATGGGGAATCGAAGCCCGTCTCCCGCATGGCCACCCAATCGCGCCGCTTATTTAAATATGCTGTGTGCATCCTGTATGACTTCGCATCAACTTTGGCCTTCATTTCGTCCTCACCGCCATGCAATTTAACAGCCAATTCTCGTGCCATTCTGGTACTTACGAGCCGCTGTCTTCTGCTGCGCCGTTGACCATCGTATTCGCCTGGTATGCTATACAATCTGGGAATGTCGCGAAAAGATCTTGTGCTCAAGGCAAAGCAATTGGCCGCAGCAGACGTACTGATGACCCTCATTGAGAGGTTATCAGTCAGGCAATTGAAGCAGCAACGCTCAATGGTTGGAAGCAGAAGAAACGGCCCATAGTCCGCGCAGCCAACGCATCGGTCTATTCTCAAGACTTGGTACAGTTGCGCTGCGCTAAATTCCGAGATAAGATTGCTCTCCCCCAGGGCCCGGAGGGCGGTTGAGGCGTGCTCTACCATGCACTTGAATGCTGGCATGGCCTCGACAGTTTGTTTGATCACGTAGCTGACCAGCCGGAGCTTTCCTAGACTCTCGAATTCTAGTGAAGAGAATATATTGTAGAGCAACTCTAGCGGGAGCTTCATCATGGTTCCACCCGAGGACTGACGTGCTGATAGGCGCCCCAGCGCGATTGGGCAAGCCTTGGGATAAGAGATCATACACATATCCAACTGTGAGGTTGCACGACTCAATTTTCGAAGTTTCTGCGAGCGGATATCGTCGTGTTTAGTGGAGGATAGCATCATGTTTGGAGGATTGTCAGATGCGATTTGAGGTGAGTACAGGGAGACCGCCGGGTTACTTGTTGATCAGTGTAGACGAAGAACTGAGTTGCACATGCACAGCCGTCAGCACCACGAGTGTGTGTGTGTAATGCTATTGACAACCTCTACTAGAGAGTGCTTACGGAGTAGATTAGGAAGATTTATCACGCCTACGCGTCGTTCTGGGTGAGACGCGTTAAAGATACATAAAGCGTGTCGTCTTCATCTACGCTAAAATTGCAGTGCAGGTAGGTGGGGAGCTAGCCATCTTGGACTTAGCTGTTAATAATTGGTCTTTTAAATGACTTAAATCCTAGAGGCTTAGATTATGGGGTGATAGGGCTTAGAAGCTAAGTCAAGCCTCATAATCTAATCAGCGCCCTACTTAAGAGCCCCCAAAATAAGCATTATTTAATCTAGCAAGATACCCACTCCTTGTACTATTAGTTGGTTGGCCAGCCAATATTGAAGCTAAGAAAAGCTAGCAACTTCACACTAGCCCGGGGGGGGGAGAGGGGCCAGCTTTTGAAGCACGACTCCGTAATTAGCCACACATGATAAGTTAGCAAAATCTGCAATTGCGACTTGTTGTCTTCTACCTCTTGTCTTCATGCACACTTCTTATTCTTATTTGATAGCCGAACGGGTGACGTTGAGATTTATCGAGACACTCTTGACTTGAGCTCATACTTTGTCTCCACAGCCTGAGAGGCGCTCTTCCACTTGCAGCTTGGATACAATGATGGACTGATCAGGGATCAAGAATTGAGATAGAGTGATAGATCCAGCTCTCCTACATGTGCTTTGCCTGGAGGTCGTCCAGATGTGTCAGCTTCGAAGCTGGATGGATTGCCATCAACTCCGTGTCAGCCATTTGATCCTTGGTTTCACGGATGTAGAAATACTTATTCGATTATCAGTCGTGGAAAGGCTGTCATGTCATCTTGAGCACCCACCGCCTAATGGTCAAGTCACTCTGGGAAACCAAGCATTCTTGGATTCAATTACTCTCGCAAGTTCGGACATGGCCTTGTTCCATGACAGTCCATCCCTCGACGGGTATGATGGCATGAAGGAGCACGAAACCCCCAGTTTCTATTCTAGAATCAACTATTCATGGACGCTGAGAGCGTAGCGCCCTCGTCCTTTGGGGATTGACATCGAAACTGTCTGTAAGATGAATCTGCTCTTGTTCGAGTCCTTGAAGATCTGTCATTTTCTTTTTTTACGGGGTTGTCCTTTCAACACACCTACAACGAACTAAGGCCCAGCCCAAGTCTGAGATTTTTGCAATCGAAGCAGTGAGATTGAAATCGAGTGGACAGCCTATAAACTTCCTCTGTCAGATAGATGCATTGCTCCTGGATCCAAGGCAGATCTCTGAAAAGGTGTTGGGTTGCATTTTGTTTTAGGATGGTTTGATCATGTAGCCGGATCATACAGCACATTCTGGCTCTATTGTCAACGTTCTGCAACTGCGTCAAAGCCTAGACTCGGAAACTGTCGTCCTTCCGAGAACTCCGTCGATCTTCTGCGTTCAGTCTGTTCTCCCCTTTGTACCTGCAATGGCGGAAAGGCGCGTGACGAAATACTCCACAAAGGACGGAGCCTGTTGAACATTCCAGCCGCTTTGACCAGCCAAACCCCACACGAGCAGAGATAAGGATATCGATAACTACCTCGTTATCAGTACTTCGACCAGCTCATCAGGCTTCCTCTCGCTCTTCCAGCTATCTCAATATGAAGTCTGCATTATTGTTCCTCCCTGTTCTCCTCCCCCTAGCACACGCGTATTTCTCTGTCAAGTCAGCCTTTCGCCTTATTTCCATTACACACTGAAACTCACCAAGTCTACAGATATCCGACCTCGCGTGGAGACAGCATGGGAACGCAGGATCAATTCCCCTGTTCGTGGCCTATCTGATCCCCATCCCCCTCCCCATCCCTCCACCCCAACCCTCAACAACCCCCTCAGGCGGCGGCCTCGACGCCTCAACCAGCACGCGCACCGCCTGGCCGCTAACCGGCGGCTCCCTCATCCTCATCCTCGCCCC